ATTAATTTTTGTATAAGGTGTAAGGAAGAGATCCAGTTTCAGCTTTCTACATATGGTGAGCCAGTTTTCCCAGCACCATTTATTAAATAGGGAATCCTTTCCCCATTTCTTGTTTTTGTCAGGTTTGGTTTGTCAAAGATCAGATGGTTATAGATGTGGTATTATTTCTGAGGACTCTGTTCTGTTCCATTGGTCTGTATCTCTGTTTTGATACCAGTGCCATGCTGTTTTGGTTACTGTAACCTTGTAGTATAGTTTGAAGTCAGGTAGCATGATGCCTCCAGCTTTGTTCTTTTGGCTTAAGATTGTCTTGGCAATGCAGGCTCTTTTTTGGTTCCATATGAACTTTTTAAAGTAGTTTCTTCCAATTCTGTGAAGAAAGTCATTAGTAGCTTGATGGGGATGGCATTAAATCTATAAATTACCTTGGGCAGTATTACTTTGGGCAGTATGCAATTATTACCTTGGGCAGTGTGCAATTGTAGTTTGATAGGAGGCCTCTTTTCCTTGATTCTCTCATACAGCACCATAATATTAAAGTCAGCAATAGTTGGTTCATGACATGAAAATGTGAGTGTTCTTGTAATGAACGCATGGCAGAGTACCCGGGAGTGAAAGTGAGATGGGGCTGAGAGTATTGGACACAAGGGCCCAGTACCGAAGGAAAGAACACTTGGCACTGCCAACTTATTCATGCTTAAAGTTTTAGTTCTTCAGATCACCTTTTAAAATTAATAAAATATGATCTCTTGCCATGTTCTAAGTAACTATATGGAAAATCATCACTCCTTTTCTGTTGATCCCATATTAATGGCTTAAAGGAAGATAATAATGACAACAGAGTAGAATTTGGGGGAAATGATCTTGACTCCACCCAGTTTGGACTACTTACTAAAGAATTAACATGTCATGAGCCAGGTGTGGTGGCATGCAACTGTAGTCACAGCTACTTGGAGGCTGAGGTGGGAGGATCCCTTGAGCTCTGCAGTTCAAGACCAGCCTGGGCAACATAATGAGACCTCATCCCTAAAGCAAAATAAAACAAAACCAATAAAAGGTCATGAAGTTTCCCCTAAGGCTTATTTATTTATTTATTAATGTTTAATCATTAATTAATGATTAATGATTAATGTTTAATCATTAATGATTAATGATTAATCATTAATTAATGATTATTATGATTAATGTTTAATCATTAATCAATGATGTTTAATCATTGATTCATGATAACAGTTAATGATGTTTAAGACAGTTAATGATGTTTAAGACAGTTTAATGATGATTAATCCTTTTTGTAAGGCGCCTATTCCAAAGAGTTTAACCTACTTTACTGACAACTCTTTACTTTTTCAATGTCCTGTGAGGCAGAGAGCAAAGAGTGTCATTTCAAGCCTCCTGCTGGGGAAATAAGTATTCAGAAATGAAGAAGTGCAGGTGGAATCCATCAAGATCTTTCGGATAATAACATCAAGTATAAAACTTCCTTCTGCTGACGATATTTAGATTCTATGGCCTTCAACTTTCTCAGCCTTCAACTTATAAGCCAATGGACCACTTCAGTTTACTTACAATAGCAGTAATAATAATAATATTGTTTAAGGATGATATTTATTGAGTACACACTGTGTGTGTACCAACCACTGTTCTAAGCACTTCAAAATCAGCAAACCCTTTAAAGTTCACAACAGTTTGGAGCGGATAATGCTCTTAACCCTAATTATTAAATGAAGAAACTTAGTTATGGAAAGGTTATGACTTGCCTAAAGTGACATAACTAACGAAATAAAGCACAATTCAAATCTAGACAGTCTATCTCCATAGTTCATGTTCTTAATTATTATGCCATACTCAATTTAAAAAATTCTACAACAGTATGAATTTTTGCCTCAGTGATAAGAATACTTTATATTTGCATAATGCTTACATTTCACCCAAGGATTTTATGGTCTTATGTTTTAGAGGCTTATTTTTGTGTACTTTGTAGAATTAGATAGCTGATAGAAAATAATTTTCTAAATCTAAATAAGGGACGTCTTGGTATCACCTCCATTTTGTATTGTTCAAAGCCTAGAAACTTCCAAGAATCACAAGTTGAGAACTTTTATTGAAGCCTCAAATAAAAGTTTTTGATAAAATTGCCAGTCTAACATGTAAAACTTAATCTCGAAGAAGCAAGTTAAATGAACAGATTCTTAAGCTTCCAGAGAATCTAAAGGTGGCAGACTATTTTATATTTTATCAAAAAATAAGCAAAAGAGTCATCAATACAAAAGCATAGGTACCTTTAAATTAGAAATTCAAAGTATTCCAAGTTAGTTCTGAAGACAATGTTTCATTGTGCTGTAAATGTTTAGAAAAGGGTATCACTCACAAAAGAGAAGTTCTATCATTAATTTAAAAAATGGAAAATGATAAAAGATGTCTAATGTAAACTTATATATGGGACCTTGTATGAGATAACTTACTCTTTTATTCCCATATTTTCTATAAATTTTTTAGCTTTACCCCTCAAACATGGGAGAAAAAGTTTCAGCATATTTATTCAAATTGGTAAAAGGCTGAGCAACCCTTAAAGCTGCCATAACGGAAGAAGACTACGAGCTAGCTTAAAAAAGAGAAAGAAGGGAAGAAACAAAACCCCTGTGTAGTAGAGTGTTGAGATGAGATGAACATTCATTTGTCTCCATCTAATTTCTTATGAAGCCAGAACCATAGCATCCTGCTCTTAAGTGAAATAAGATGGAGCATTATCCAAGAATGCAGACGTGGCACCAGAAAGGCTGCCAAGATAAGTGGAGGGCAGAAAGTGTCAGATAAAAACCTTCAAGACCAGTAACAGTCACTCTTTTCAATTCTCACTTCTGGAACCTGGCAGGAATGGTCCTGGGATGTGGGCCCAGCTTGACTACACAACCCAGCAACAACGGTAGGGGATGAGGATCCTGACCTCACAGAGCTGAGCTTTCTTCAACTACAGGATCCTTCTCCAGCCCCGTGTTCAAAAGAGAAACAATGTGAACAGTCTGTTTTCTGTCACTGAGTGAGACAATTCATTTCCTTTGCTGGAAAAACATAAAAGATTGTGATCACTACTGTTGTACAGGGAAAGATTTTCCAAAGTAAGCATAACATGATATGGGTGTCCTAGGTAAATTAGTATCCTGGGTTCAGTAAGTTTTTAAAGCAGCAAAAGATTAGGGAATGTGTCCATACCCCTCTACTCAGCTAGCATCCTGAGTGAGATGGTTTCTGGGGTTGGTTTGAATGAGTAAGTATTGGAAATTCCTCTTGTACACTGTCTGCCACAGACCTCTAAAGATGCTGAGTGGTAGAGGTGGTAGGGGCTTCACTGAACAAGACCCTTCTTTGATCCAAAGTTAACACAAAGTTCATGGTGTAGATGAGGAAACCTAAGCTGTTATCACAGCATACTTACTAACTTACTACCTCTTAGCACTTCCATGAGATCAGCCTGGGCCATTGCAAACATGTAGATGTGAACTGCCCCGCTTACCTTACCTGCATTGGGTAGTGAATGCTCATGATTCAAGCAGAGCCTTTCATGCTGGATGTCTGAACCCAACAGAAGGTTCTTTGGTCTTGGAGGAAGAAGCAAAGATAAAGATCTGATTTGTCACCAGAAGAAAAAGTGAGTGCCTTCTATCTAAGAATCCAGAGTCTGGACTTATTGGCACAGCTCTTGTGAGGGCTAGTTGTGTAACCTTGGACTCATGACCTAATCTCTTTGAGATCCAGGTTAATCAGTGGTCAGAAGTGGAGTTGTAACTGGTTGGTTTCTGAGGCTAGGATCAGAAAAGGATTTCAAGATTCTTTAAGTTGGGGAGGTTCTACAAGACATAGTGTGTGTCACAGTAGATTTTCTTTAATAAATTAATCATAATAAATTTCTACACTTCCCAAAAAATACAGTAATGTAAAACATAGCTCTTGGTCTTAAAATGTAGGAATAGTCTTAATTTTAATCAATATAAGGAGGAAGAAACACCCTAGATTTGTGCTGTCCAGGAGGGTAGCCACTAGCCACATGTAGTCGTTTAAATATAAGTTAATTTAAATAAAATTTAAAATTCAGTGATTTGAAATGTGGGCTCTACTACCCACATTTCAAATGCTCAATAGCCATATATGACTGTGTCCACTGTACTGGGCAACACTGGCATGGAACACTGCTGTCATTGCAGAAAGTCCTCTTGGTCAGTGCTGCCTTAGACCTTTGCCCATACGACAAACTGCAGCTACTTGTACCTTAGAGCAAGCTGTAGATGTTTGGGCCCTAGAGTTGCTGTGTCCATCTTTGGAGAATGAAAGGATGGGTTAAATCGCATGTGGATAAAACAGTGCAAGAAACCCTTCAGGCAAAGGGTGTCTGCATAGAATAAGAGTTTGAGAGAGGTGAGGAGGAACGGAGGTTAGAAGAAGAAATTAGGGAACAACTGAATCATTGGGTGTCTTGAATCTTGACTAGACCTGAACCTTATGAGGACACAGGACCCCCAGAGGGAAGTTCCTCAGAGAGACTGTCACCCTATGCACAAATGATCCCAACAGTAGATACCTCTGAGAGAATCAGGGCAGCTCTAATCTCCAGGCACTCAGTGGTGGGAAAGGGTTAGTCATGTTGGATTCATGTTGTGGAAGAGAAAGTTTTTATGTTGCCAGGCAATGGGGAATAATTCAGGCTTTTTTGACATTTGAGTGGGTTAACCAGTGTATCTGACAGTCGGCTCCTTAGAAATGGGTCTGTGCAGGCAAAGTCAGCTTATGTTGTGAGGCTCAGGCTTGAGTATGAGTAAGAAAGTGTCTATGATACAAAAAGTTCTATTTTTCTTGCCAGCCCTGCTGGCTAGGGAGAATTTCTTCCCCATGTATATGGAGAAAGGAAGAAATCAGAGGCAGCTGGCAAAAAGAGTATACTTTAACCTGCTGTCTGGAAGCCATCTGTGAAGGGAATCACTTTTCTTTTCTGGACTTATTTCCAGGTGCAGCTGCAGGGGATGACACGGAAGATGCAAGCACTGAGTTCACTGACAGTATTGAGGAGGAGGCCACACACCATAATCACCAGCAAGTAAGTCAGTGTCAGGGTCTGGAGCTTCCAGGGTGAATGGCACACAGCCCTTCTGAGGTCTGATGGTCTCCTGCAGCCCTTGTGGACTTAGAGTGAGAAGATTTTTTTTTTATATAAACCACTTCTCAGTCATCTTCCTGTTCTCCTTGAGCTTCCCGGCTGCCTTTCCAACCCATGTCTTCACTCCATTTTCCTCTCCAATCCACCCTTTGATTTGTATTGTATCTCTTTCTTCTGCTTCCTGCCCCTTCCTACCCACCTTTGCCTCTATTTATTCTCTGTAGCTATAGCTTCAGAAGAATTTTTACTTGAAAAACGATGGACACATTCCCCTTGGGCTTTTTGTAACTGAAAAGCACCACAGAAGACAGGGAGTCATCAAAGGGCTGCTCGGGGAGGTGGCGGGGTGAAGGACCTGCTTGGGAAGAAACTCTAAGAAGACTGGAATGCTTCCAAAGCAAGGGTCTTTCTCAGTGAAATCTCATTATACAAAGAGAACCTTATGCAACCTGACAAACCACTGAGATCATGGTGACTCAATGATCAGCAGATGGTTCTTCAACAGCAATCCCCTGTCAAACCTCAGAACTTGAGGCTGAAACATTGTTTCCATCCACCATCAGTGCAGATGTAACTAGCATGTTACAAGAGTGAATAATCTGGACTTCAGAGATTAAGTCACCAATGGTGATCCCACAAGCACTCACTGGAACTCCTATAATGTCTCCACTTTGTCC